GCACTTCATCCATTGAAGTCAGTCTTCCCATAGACCATGACACCCATGATGAGGAACAGGTGCCAAGTTATAGCTGTTTTTTTGAAGAAAGCAGCTAATTTTTTTGCAAGGAAAAGCTACTTGTCCTGTGAGATATGGCATACTTGATCCGCAAAGAGGAGGCACTGAAAAAGATGGACGTAGAGCTTGAGTCGACATTGTCTCATATGCAACAGTACCTCACTAGTGAGGAAAACCTTACAGTTGATGTCACAGTGGCTAAGGCAGCCAAAAGGAAAATAGATAATGGAAGCAAGCCAAAGGCTAACCTACCTCTGCTAAAGAAAAAGAAGTTGGAAACTTGAAGAGGTGAAAGAGAAGACAACAAAAAGGTAGAGCAGAAACCAACAAGTGTCGGCGTCATTGATGGTTACTTTCTTATGTTTGCCCCATCTGACTCAGGTACAGGCTGTAAGACAAGGACATTGAGATCGTGTTTTCCATTATGAAATTAACATCAGCAACTTATTCTTTCAATATTATAAATATGGTCAATCAATATTCCACTCCCCAGAAAGATGTTGTCATCTTTTGTTAAAAAGTGAAATCGAAGTTATTGTTGTGAATTTGCAGTACACAACAGCCTTGCTATACAGTTGCTGTAAAGTTTTAGCATACCCACATAATCTGAATGTGTTATTTCATCGCTTTTCATGACTCTTTTATCATCATTTTATCATTTTCATCAGCAGCACGTTCTGAAGATTTTCACATTCTCAAGGCCCCTTCAGCGTTACCTTCAGTGTCAGGTGAGTATCCGTTTTTTTTTTTGCCTTTGAGAAAACTTCTGCAGGAACGCAACGTCACACCCTCAATAATTTCTAATTTCTTAATCCTCGACAAGGTTTTCCTCGTTTCTCTCATTTTAAAGTTAGCATCATCTGTCACATTCGTTTTCCTCTCTATAATTTGTTTCTTTTAATTTTTTTTTCAAACTGGAGGTCCATCTCCATCTCATTTCAATTCACTTTGAGGAGTCTGTTGCAGACCACATTTTATTTATTTCTGTTAACAGCACCATCTGCATCTTATGACATGAGCACCTCCGATGTCTCACGAGAGCAGTCTTCAAAGTCGAGTGAGTAGTTTACTGAAAACACTCACCTTCACTTTCTTTAATAAATTCACTTTGTAGAGTCTGTTGCCGACCACATTTTTCATTTCTGTTCACAGCACCATCTGCATCTCATGACATGAGCACCGCCAGTGAGTAGTTTACTAAAAACGCCCATCTTAACTTTCTTAATTGAACTTTACATATAGTCTTCCACTATTTATGCAATTGTATTATTCTGTTCATAGCCTGCAGTGCAGTCTTGAAAGTATAAAATGCAGGAATTATCGACAACTTTTTTGTGGCATTACTTTTTCACAAATCAAAAAGACAGAAAGCACAGAGGCATTCTTAAGTTCATCCATTGAGGTTCAATAACCAGCCGTTCCAAAAAGGCAGGTGGAGAGAGGACTCTGCAACTCCTATTTTGACAAGTATGAATAATTATTTCATCGGCATACATGTTCAGCTTATTTTCTAGTTTTTCCTGTATTCAACTTAGAACTGCTGATCCCGTTGGCTTTCTGTAATATATTCTTAAATGCCCGTCTGACTCTTTCCAATAACATAATTTTTAAAAGTTGTCTTATCTGACCAGGTGACTTGAAAGAAATGCATGCAGCAGAGCAGAAGAAAAAGGTTTCATTTGATCAAGGTGTCAGAGACAAAGAAGGTAACCTTTTCCATTGCAGCTTACGAAAGTAATATTAGGCAAATCTTACTGCTCATCAAACAGTCCTTAGTTTAGTTTGTAAATTAAAAATTTCTTATTCTTATGAAATGTAGATGTAAAGTGTCTCCTCAAGGAATTGAGACAAGAGAGAGAAGTGTCACTGCCAAAGAAAAATACCCAACGCTATCACGTTGCAGGTGATGTTCTAGAACACCAAGATTTCTTGAGCCTTAGACATCCCAAGTGGATAAATGACAAGGTGAGAAGTATATTATGGTGCCTTTAAGGGAAAACGAGCAATTGGCACAATAATTAGGCAAAGGTCTCGTAATCCCCATTCCCCAATTTGTGACAATTTTACACCACTATCCAGGTCTGTAGAAAAAAATGAATCTGCTTTGTACAACCCGGTCTTTTAATTCATTCATTCATTCTTGTCTTTTCTTTGGGATAGGTAATCAATGGGTATTTGCACTCAATGCAAACAGAACACAACCTGAGCAGCTCAAAACATGTCTTCGTTTTGCCGTCGTACGTAGCAGTGCAGTGGACCGTTGGATGGAAACCTTGGTTGTTCAAGAAGGTAAAGTGTGTGTAATATATTCAAATCCAATGTGCAGTCTAGCTGAAACTGTTTGTAATCGTTTCTTATGAACAGGCTTCGCAAAATGATTTATCAATCAAGGGAGGGTCATACATTTGAGCATAAATTTGCTATCTTTTATGACAAATTGTTGTCTTACATAGGTGAAGTTTGGTATGTTTCAGTTTCTTTATGCTCATCAATAAAATCAGAACCACTGGATACTCCTTGTTGCAAATGTTCCAAAGATGACAGTTTCAATATTGGATTCTCTATATGGAAGACACAATTCTATATTCATAAAAAAGTTCATGTAAGTTTTCAAAGAAAGTGTACCGCATTCATTAGATGTCATTGCACTTTGGAAATTAGGGAATAAACGTGTGCTTGGCCAGTCTTAAACGCGCGTCAAAGACCGTCTATTCCCATTCATAGAGTCAACAGAAGTTGGCATATGATGGATTTCCAACGATTCTGCTCTACAATTTTCTTTTCATTTTTCCGAGCACCCTGTCCATAACAATGACACGCATGGTTGAGTTCAGCTTCTTTGAATCATTGTAATGGACGTAAAATTCATGCTATTTATAAGTCTTATGTAAGACTGCCCTGCTCTCACTGGAAAAGTTAGCTTAGGAATAAATGGTTGCATGAGTAGCATTGTTGATGTGTGTGTTGCTGATTAATTTTTAGATTTTTTTTTACTTAACCAAGGCATACATGGAACTTCGTGGGAAGAAAACTGGTCAAATGTTAGGACATGGACAACTGACAATCGGCTGATGTCAGCAAAGCACATGGATGGCAGCTCCTGTGGTGCATTTGTGATGCTGGTAATGACACGAATGGTTTAACAATCAAGTCAGTAACCCAAATCAAATAACAAACTCTGTAGAATCGTCTCAACTTGGATCCGCTAGGGTAAACGACATAACTGTATGCATGTACAGTAATCAGATACGTTTGCGTGTAACAATGCATTTTTTTCTGATGATTTCATCGATGTGTTAAGAATAAAATATTCTAAGACTATATAAGACACAAGTTTCGATTCTTGTCCGCTGTAAGCCATGATACGAATGACTTTCTGTGTTGTTTATAATTAAGTGATTAAATATTATGAGACTCAAAATGACTCAAGCCTAATGTTCGACTTGAATGAACCTTCATCTAATTACATGACTTGACTCGAATCACTCCAAAAACAATTCACTGATTAAATGTGCTATTCTGCTTGTTTGGTCCATATGCAATTTCAGATGCGTTGTGGACCATCAAAAAAGCACGATTGGATGGATTTTGGCACTACGTGTATAAAGGCATTGCCCTAATGAGTTTCGTTCCTTTCAGACGGTCTGGTTTCACTTCAAAGTGCATTAATGAGGTACACAGTTGGGATCGTTGCTTTCCAGTTGTACCCGTTTGACTTTTTTTATTCAAATAAATTTTCTGCAATGTATCAATCTTGGTGTGAGATTTATCACCAAGACATCCATTGAAGTGATCGTGCACTATGGACATTGTCTGCGGAGGTATCTGTAATTTGTTCGCGTTTCACATCGCCATATGTCTAGAGAGAATACATGTAGTTGGCATTTTAGTTTTCAAGACAAGTCAACTTTACCTGAGGTCTGGCATAATGATGTAGGTGGCAACCCTATTTAGTTGGGGTGTTTAGATTTTCTAAGTTTCCATCTGTACAGTTTTTGATCACTACCAGACATTTTTTTATTATGTTGCATCTGGTCTTTCCTATAACAAGTGCTTTAATGTCAATGTCCACATAAGTCCTATAATGTTATTCTGCTTTAGATATCGGGAACAGTTGGCCCCTTTACAATTTTGTAGGAATAATTCTCCATATGATGAATTTTGGATTATCGATCTGCTTTTCATCAATAGGCCTGGTATTTTCAGAAATATGAATTTTATCCTATAGTTTATAAGTGGCGTTCATATATCCTCTGCAATCTTCAACTTGCAGTTGAGTATCGCGAGGCGAAACTATTGTTACTGTGCTTGTACGTTATGTGAGGGTTGAGGTCAAACAGAGTTTGTCTGAGCTCTATATGTAAAAATCATGTGATCCCAATTTGTGTCTCCAATGTTAACTAAATTGGTTGTCACATTGCTGTGTATAAACCGTTATCCAAGTTAGTGTCCTGGTGGTGCTTCATAATTGCAAATGATGTAATTACAGTGCTACGCACAAGACAATTTTGTACCCGCGAGCCGGGTACATTTGAGGAGAAAACACTAAGTATGAAAATTGGGTGCAGGTGACTCTACAGTACATCCTGGCGCAAGCCGGGTTCACTTGTACATGTACATGTACACTGTATATGAATGTACAGTACAGTACTGTACACGTACTGGCACATATCATAATATGCATATACTTGAACATGTACATGTACATATGACTGACGACGAGCACCACGGACCACTCACCCATGGTCCGTGCCTGAACGCAGTGTGGATTGGGTCAAAACGTCACACGTTGTTTTATTCATACATGTATTACGTCTATGTTGCATTATTCATGTTGTACCCGGCCTGCGCCCCATTTTTGCTTTTTTTGTGGAGTGTGACTAAGTTGTAAAGCGCCGCCCATCCCAGCGGCGCTATGCAATCTTTGGTCGTAAGTACACTGTACATGTACATGTACTTCTTCACGTTTTTGTGTGGAATTGTGGGAGTGTGTCGATGTCGGAAGTCCAGTGCCTCAAAGTCTGAATTTTCGGCTGCTTTTGTCACTTATCCACCATATTATGAAAGAAAGAGAAGTAAGTTACAACGGTATGATTGTAATTAGCATTCTGCCTTTGCTGTAGCTCCAAAATTAGTGACAACTTAGGCCTAATACAAAGAAAAAGTTGCATCAACACCCAGGAAGAGAATGAGGGTGAGCTCCAGTCTAGAGATTGACCGGTGTAAACCACAAGAAAGAGAGGTGGATGACGTCAAGTAGATTTTTAGAGCATTGGCCCACTGTGTGAGCAGAATTTCCGCCAGCAGGAGAGCTTGACATCAAATTCAAACTTCTTTAACTTGTTCACGCAGCCAAAGTGGAAGATCTTAGCAATTAAAGCCTATTAATCTCCAAGATTTTCCATTTAGATGCTTGAACAAGTACATGTATTTAATTTTGAATTTGATATCAAGTCTTCTTCATGAATTTTCCCCAACTTACGAGGGATTCAAAGATACTTACCTACAGTATCAGGGATGGCTGATATAAATCACTTTGATTTAAATCACTGAGTTAAACATGGGAGTAGATTTGTGCTGGACTGATCTTAAACATGGGTTAAATCTGGCTCGGGAGAATGGATGTGACAAATGTCTAAGCCACAGTGTTGTGTCCATGTAAGTTCACCCCGTCCACTTAGTTTGTGCACATGTGCTAAAATTCGGCAAGTCGAGGTCACTTTCTGTAGCTTGTTAAAATGGCGACGCCAGCCAGCAAATGACTACACCAAAATCTATCTGCGGAGATCTTCCGCACTGTGTAAACGCTTGCTGAATGAATAACCAGAGAAATAATCAGGCTTCAGATTTCATTTTGTGATGTGTTTCTTGTTAAAAGTGACTTTTGGGAGAAAATGGGGTGAAAGATGTATGTGTATGTTACATGTCTGAACGTGAAAAGGGTTTTTTAAACTTGAAAATCTGAATTGTTCTCCAGTAAGTCCACACATGCTGCATATCCTGATAACTGAAACAGTGTTTGAAAAAGGCACCATGTTATGTTTAAGCCGTAGCAAATTGTCCTTTGTGAGTTCGATCAATTTCAATTTTGGCTCTCTGTTGACCAGTCGGCCGTGGTTTAAGTGTGCACAGGTGCAAGTTCATGTACATGTATAGTACATGTACCTCATCAACGCACGTAATTACTACGGACTAATGATTCTCGTGCAAGATATTAAATTCGCAATAACTTAAAAATACTACCGATGTTTTAATTAGACCTTTGGATGAACTGGAGAAGTTGTTTTAAAGTGGAAAAGAGCGTGGACGTATTTTCTTTCCAATCTGATTGTGTTCATTTTTTGTAAAAATCACTTTTGCAAAATTTGTTTCAAATTTGTGCAACTTGGTTCATATAATGCGGTGGTTTATTGTTGTCTAATCCATTTTTAGTTATTAGGTTATCTTCATGAACTTTTTTTTGGTGTTGTTAAAATTAATTATGATCTTCATCCGTGAAAAGAAAGTCGGAACGATATTCAACGTCGCCTGCCTCGAAATCCACAGTAAAGTGCTCAAGTACGCATGCGCTAGCTCTCAACTAAGTGGTGCACGAGGGCATGGGAGTGAACATACATGTGTGTCCATGGTACGTAAATAGCGCCCTCAGGAGGAGAGATGGAGACATGCTGTGCCATTTTGGAGAAGGGAAATAAAGCTGGGTAATTGTTCCGAGTATTTCTAAATTTCTCATGTATTTACTGCATTTACTGAACCTTGAACATAACATATTTTGGCGATGAAGGAGGATAGAATGTACTTACAGGGATTTTACGCCTCGACATCGATTCCACCTCCTCCATTTTTTCTCTTAACACCTTGAACTGCGTCCGCTCCATGGATGCAGTGGAGAGGTATGTTTGAAACATACACAATTGCATCAGGCGCCAAAACTTACTCTGCTGTTCGTAAATGTACATGGCCTTGGTATTGAAGGTCAGCACATATTCCATGCATTGCCACAAGAGAATGCAGTTGACAAATATGAAGCTGCTCTCCATGTCCTTGACAGACATTTCCAGCTCAAACTGAACATTGTGGCTGAATGCTACAAATTTCACAGATGTTCCCAATTGCCAGGGGAATCTGTTGAGGATTACATTCGCGAGTTACGTGCGCTTGCATCTTACTGCAACTTTTGTAATATGTCAGATGAACTCATCAGAGATCAATTCGTTGAACGCACATGTACTCAACGCAGATTTGAGAGAGACTTCTTCTGGAACCAGAGCCAACACTTGCAAATGCAATCACCATTGCCCGATCAGTTGAGTCAGCACTGAGAGAGTCCAAAATCATCAGAGAGAAATCTGGCCATACAGCAGATGTGGACGTACATACAGTTAAACACTGTAGGCCTCGTAAACATCACTGACTGTGCCAACATCATACTACTGCTGATAAAGTGCACACCCCGAAACCAGCAACGGTGCAGACACAGTATTTTACAGATGTGGTGAACAATCCCACAAGGCTAACAACCTGAACTGCAAAGCTAGGACTGCTACATGTATATGCACTAAATGCCGTAATTGGGACATTACACTCGTGTTTGTCAGTCTACATGCAATCCAGTTCATGGTATACACACCGAAGAAGATCCTGTCACTCTTCCTGCGTACAGTGATTCCAATGTCCTGACAATCCAGCATACTTCGCATGTGGACAGTGTCAAGTGCTCTGTCATTCTTTGCTCATCTGTTCCCTTTTCATGATTGTTGATACTGGTGCTGCTGTGTCAATACTACATTTGGAAAGTTCTTCGCATGTGAGGCCTTGCAACCTACAACAGATAAACTTACTACATACCTTCGTGATCCCATTACGTTCCACACCACTGTACGTCTTGTGAAGGATCCAAAGCGAAGTGTCTATGGGGTCGCTGTTTCACATTACGAACTGACCACCCAGCTTTGACAACATTGCTTTCTATATGTGGTACTGGTCACAAACCAATGTGCATTGCCAGATGGGTGGCACGCTTGCTGAACTTCGACTACGACGTTGAATTTTGTGCTGGAGCACACAATCGAGTGGCTGATGGTCTATCCAGATGAAATTATTGTTCAGTGGATCTCAGCCTTACTGGTTGATACACAAAGACTGAACTCCAAACTGCAACAATGACAGACACAGTCCTTCAACCTGTGCCTGACTACATCATCTCTGGTTGGCCCTCTTAGCAGAAAATTACCTCAGAGATACAACCCTACTTCACCCTCAAGGATGAACTTTCAGTTGTTGATAACTGTGTTATGCGAGGCGATCATTTTGTTATTCCATGTGCTCCTCAGCCTGGCTTAATTACCTTAACACATCAAGGGCACCAAGGCATCGTTTGCACAAAACAACGCCTATGTTAATGCTACTGGTGGCCAGAAATGGACAAGCAGATCAAGCACCAAATTCACAACTGTTCTGCTTGTCAAGCTTGTGACAAGACAATGTATACTCGCACTCCATCACTACAGCCTGTTCCCCTTCCTGCAAAACAATGGCAAAAGCTAGCTATTTACATTTGCGGTCCCTTTGAACATGGCCGACACAACTGCAGATTCGCAATTGTCGTTGAGGACTACTACAGTAAGTGGTCAGAAATTGCCTTTACAGCTGAGGCCACTTCACGGTCCATCTGCTCCATGCTTGACTCTCTTTTTGCAAGTGAAGGGCTTCCTGATGAACTGGTTTCAGACAATGGAACACAGTACAGTAAAAAAGATAATCGATGACTCGCGGTGTCGTGTTCCTGGTAGCGACGTTTAGGCTGCTGGTGCTGCTAGCCTTCATCAGGCAACTGAGGTCTGGATGCTGCAGAGTCCGCTATATACCGCTGGACCGCGTCCTGTGCGTGTCCCCCGCCCTGTATTGTGGACGCAGTACGGGTGACCTCAGCGGGCGTCGCATGCTCCATTCCATGGGCGTGAGGGGGCGTGTCCTCGGTGTGGCTACACTGAGGACATGGGTACACAGTTTATTTCTGCCGACTTTCAGTCGTCCTAAGTCAGTGAGGAATATAGCACATTCGCACATCTCTGTACCACCCGCAGGCAAACGGTGTTGTTGAGCAATTTAATCACATTCTTAAGCAAGCCCTCCAAATTGCGACTCATGAACACAAATCTTGGAAAGCTGCAACTCTGGAACTACTGACAGCATATCAAGCAATTGTACATGCTACTACTGGCAAGTAACTGGCAGACCTCCCACGTAACCAGCCCATGACTACGAACCTGAACATTCGGTCCACATAGACTGGCCGATGTATATCACCTTACATCCACAGCAGAGTGGAACATCACTGACTGTTTAGTGACCAGGCAGGCAAGGTGCTTAATGTGGGACTTGTGGTTTTACAGCTCTAGTCAAGCGTAAAACACAAACAGAGGCTTGGTGCACCTGCATCCTGTTTACAGTCTGGATAACCATTCTTAGGACTTACCTGTCTCTAGCTATGAGGAAGAAAATGCATAGGACATTCTTCACCTTTCTTGGGGTAAACAAAGGAGCACGAAGGAGTATGAAATCAACATTTCCTGTGGAGTAAGCTGGAAAGGATCAGAGAATTTACTGAAGCAAAGCTCAAAGAAGAAATATAGAATTTAATGAAAGACAAGTAAAAGAGGGAAACTCACAAATGGAAGCATAGTCCTGGTCATATAGACAAAGGGCTAACCCAACCTAAGACCTACTTTGGGTTGGGATACACTAAAAAAATTGCCAACCCTGCTTCCTACTAGTTGTTGAGCAAGAGTGTTCCTGTCAGTGTATTGCATTGGATTGACCTTTAATTAACCTAATAACCTTTAATAAAGTGTTAATTTAAGATTTAAATGCTAAATCAGAAGTTTCTTGTTAAAGTATCCTGCTTTGAATTTTAAACATCTAAAAACTCCACTATTGGACCTTTTTCCTTGAGAGATCTCACGTTCTTTTCCTTCATGTTTAAATAAAGTATGTGGATTGTTAAGTGCCAGGTGAAAACTTACATGTAGAAGGCTTACATTAATGTGTCTTTGTCCCTTACTTGATTTCAGAT